AGAGAGAAGAGAGAAGAGAGAAGAGAGAAGGGGAGAGAAGTGAAGTAAATAGGAGAGAATATGTGAATACGTTGAACGATCGCATCTTGGGAGGAGCGTGCTAGACGGCAAGCTGTATGTTATATCGAGGTCAAAGAAATGGACCTCAAAGTAATGTTTGTTGCCAGGGATTAGCATGCCTGTCTCTGTTCAGCTCCTGGAAGCGTTGGATGACGCCTGCAAGGAAGAAGACCAGGAGAAGATCTGCGACGTGCTGGACAGGCTGCAGGAGACCGACCTGGACGTTGACTTCATAGTGAAGCATGTGGGAAAGAAAGTGAAGCTGCTGAGGACGCACTCGAGCGCGGAGGTGAAGAAGAAGGCAGTGGCCCTGACGCAGTTCTGGAAGGAGGTGGTCAAGAAGAAGGTGGAGTCGAGCGGGAAGGGGAAGGGGAGAGCGGCGGTGAAGGTCAAGGAGGAGGAAGTGAAGCAAGAGGGTGAGTTTGTGCCTCCTCCGCCGCGTCTCTTTGTTGTTGCACGTCCTCCCTCCCCTCCCTCCCCTCCCCCTCGCCTCACATGCGCTCGAGTGAAGTTTCTCGTTTTTCTCCAGCTCCCGTTGATTTTGTGTGTGCTGCGCTCAAACGTCAACGATCGTTTCCTCTCCGCTCCTCTCGCTCGTTGCGACTGTGTAGACCCTCCCTGGTCCTGTACTTGGCTGCTCTATGTTGGCCTGGCACGGACTCTTACACCAGCACGCACCATTTCTTCTCTGCAGTTGATAATGCGGCGAAGATCGGCAAAGACTCGATCGAGAGATCGGGGAAGATCGCGGTAAGGAGGAGGAGGAGCGGAAGGAGGAGAGGCAGGAGGAGGAGCGGAAGGAGGAGGGGCTGGAAGAGGAGGGGCAGGAAGAGAGGTAGGAGGAGGAGGAGGAGGAGGAGGAGGAGGAGGAGAGGCGAGGAGGAGGAGGAGGAGGAGGAGGAGGAGGAGGAGGAGTAGGAGAGGCAGGAGGAGGAGGAGGAGGAGGAGGAGGAGGAGGAGGAGTAGGGGGGGCAGGAGGAGGAGGACGAGAGGCAGGAGGAGTGCCTTAACGATTCCTGCAGGTTCTCCCGGAAAGAACGAGGGCAATCAATCACAAGAATGTTGAATCCTGTCCGAAGGGGAAGCCTGTCGTTTACTGGATGAGCAGGTAGGAGGGAGAGGTAAAGGGGAAGGAGGGGGGATAGAGAGAGGAAGGAGAACTTTCAACTCACAGACAGTTTGCAGAGATCAGCGGGTACAAGACAACTGGGCTATGCTGTATGCTCGCATGCGAGAGGAGAACGATCTCTGACTGTCGTCTCCTCCTCTCTAGTTATGCTCAGCAACAAGCCCTGGAGGCCGGTGCCCCCCTTGCTGTCTGCTTCAACCTCGTCGACTCGTTCCTTGGGGCCGGGCTGCGGCAGTTCGGCTTCATGCTGCGCGGGCTGAAGGAGGTAAGAGGAGGAGGAGGAGGAGGAGGAGGAGGAAGGAGGTGTGGGTGGTAGCGAGAGATCAGACAGGTCAGAGATGGTCATCTTGAAGTAGAGGAGAAGAGAGAGAAACTGAGGAGGTAGGGCGAGATTAGATGAGAACTCAAACAAGATTTCTGAGCTGTCATTGTTCACAATGTCATGTTGTGTCAGATTCGTCCCTCCTCCTCTCCTCCATGACCGTTGCTGATGTTGGTGGGGACCAGGTGGAGGAGGAGCTGAAGGAGCTGAACATTCCTTTCTTCCTCCTTCGGGGAGACTGCGTCAAGACCATCCCCAAGTTCGTCAAGGACAACAACGTTGGCCTCGTGGTCTGCGACTACAGCCCGCTGAGGATGGGACGAGAATGGTGAGGAGGGAGAGGTGAAGGAGGAGTAGAGGTGGTGGAGGAGACCAGAGAAGGGAGGAGGAATCTGCT